TTTCATAGTCTCTCTCTCTCTCTCTCTCTCTCTTTCTCTCTCTCTCTCTCTCTCTCTCTCTCTCAGACACGCACACACACAAAAACAGACATGCAATATAATAATCTATTAAAAGTGGGACGCGCTTCTCTGACGCAAGGTCTGACGAGGACGCCCTGAGGTCTACAGAAGAGATTTCAAAGGATTTCTCACAGCACGATATTACATGACACAAACTGGGAGCTGTTGCTCATTTTAATGGCGATAGAGGGACAGGGCAAACAGCATTTAAAGAAAACATGCATGTGCTCTCAATCACCCACATACACACACACAAGAATACAAGACACACAACCCCAGCAAATCTGATCAAACACAATAACTCAGCACTTGTCTCGATTTCTCCTTCGTAGATTTCCAAAAAAAAAAAGAAAGACAACTTAAAGCAGACAATGAAATTATGGATAATAATAGAAAGAAACAGAAACACAAAACACAAACATTCTCGAAATAGCAACCTGCACAGAGACATCAGATACATTAGCCAATGTATCTTTAGATAGAACAAAGGATAAAAAATACATATATGAGAGAGACAGAAATTCTCAACACTAAGGTCCAGTCCTTTGGGAGGAGACACTAAACAACAAAAACAAAAAACCCATTACCCCGCCCCTCCCCACCCCCACCAAAAAACAACAAACATATAAACAACAAACAAACAAAAAACAAACAAAACTAAAATCAAAAACAAAACAAACAATATTATTTTGAGGAAATAGAAATATATGTAAAGCAAAAAAAAAAAGGGGGTCAGAGTTACATTTCAAACACAAAAGTAAACAACAAGTAAAATAAGGTTAGCTTTAAAAAAAAGAGAGAGATAGAGAGAGAGAAATAAAACACACTTACACAAAATCATGTGAAGAAAAGCTGGAGTAGAGAAATAATGAGTACATGACAAAAAGAAATGAGTGGCTCTTGTTGGCAGGCTGGTTCATATAATCGTTTCATAGACTACAGAACGACTGGAATCAAAAAGGCAAAGCTATTTTTTTTTTACAACACGCCAGTATTTCACACTTTGCCTACAGACAAGAACATACAAAGATCATCAGCACAATATCGATGATAATATACAATAATAAAAACAATAATAATAATAATAATAATAATAATAATAATAATAATAATAATAGTAACTAAAGTAATGATAATATAAACAAGAGTAATGATATTAATAATACTTTCGTATAGTGCAAAGCCACTGTCGGCCTTCAAACAGGTAGACAATATAGATATAATATATATATCTTTCTCTCTTTACAAGGATTCTCTTTATGGGGATCATAATTCGTCGGACTCTTATACAGAATTGCCAAAAAGGTGAAGATTCACTCCAAATGCTTAAGCACACGCGCCGCATGCATACGAGGAGTACACCCACACAAGGACATTCCACAAATTGACAAGTAAATCTTGTACTTACAGAGTGTCAGGAACAAATTTGTAATAACCATCATGAGTAATTAACCAGAACAGCAAAATTGTTGCATGAAACGCTGAGTAACAACAGGGTTAGGGAATCTGGCAGAATTATTATACTTATTTATGGCAGCAAAACTTAAGTGATAGAGTGCGCACACACAAGCACCCGCGCGCGCGCGCACACACACACACACACAAACACACGCACCCCATAGAAACTGCTGGATTTAGCTAAAAGTATTAAGCTCGGTGCACACTCCCAAATAAATGATCAAACATGTGGTGTGGCGACACACAGCCATCTCGTTTGATTGACCACTAACTAACTACATGGACTATGTGAACGTGAGAGGTGAGTGAGTACATTCGCAGAGGTCTCCGCCCGTGTGGGTCCTTCAACACCTCACAGCACCAGATGGGACAATTGTATATATATAAACGAAGACTAAATGTTCTACAAGCCCATAAACATGTTAAGTAATTAGGGAGGCAGGCTGCTTCGACTTGCTTGTCAGTACCGACCTGGGCGGTTAGTAGTAAACTAGAAAAAAAAAACCCTTCTTCCTATCTAATCCCCATCCGACTCTTCCCCCCACCACCAATCCTTTGAATTCTCTCTCTCTCTCTCTGCTGCCTCTTGCGGGTTCATTAAAAAAATCAAAGATTAAACGTCACAACCTCCAGAGTAAAGGCAATGCAAGGGCAGCAGAAACACTAAACCTATTCTGCTGCTTCCAGCTCCCCCCC